AGGCACGAGTGGTTGTTTTTTTTTGGGGGGGGGGATATGGGAGTGGTTTCTAAGTGCTTATTATAAAGATAGAAATTTCGTCCATTGGTTACAGCAGAGATTCCCAATCTTTTTGTTCCTCTGTACCCCTTGCTCTTGTACATTCTGACAGGTTCCCATGTACCCCTTGGCCTTGGGCATTCTGACAGGTTCCCATGTGCCCCTTGGCCTTGGGCATTCTGACAGGTTCCCATGTACCCCTTGGCCATTTTGACAGGTTCCCATGTACCCTTTGGCCTTGGACATTCTGACAGGTTCCAATGTACCCCTTGGCCTTGGGCATTCTGACAGGTTCCCATGTACCCCTTGGCCTTGGACATTCTGACAGGTTCCCACGTCCCCCTAGAAATTAAAGATCAAAAATTGATAACATTATATAGATTTTATATTATTTTATTATGATATCTGTATGTGTGGACTGCATCAGTCAGACAAAGTGGCTCACATAAATATACGCCTAGTTCGATTTATCGATGTTATCAATACTATAAGATCCTCGTTCTACTTTGTTGGATTGGAGTCATTGTTTTGGCAGATTATTGCAACTGACGTTAATTAGTTGTTGTGTGAACTACTGTAAGATTTCCTCGACCTAATTAAAAATTGAAGTATTGTTCCAAATTAAATGTAATCTATACATTTACAATAAAATCTACGGTTGAGCCTGTTTTACGAGCTCTGCCAGTCTGTAGTTTGTGTGAAAGCGGGTACTACATTAGGTCCTTTGATTTTTTTATCCTCCATACACCATCAAAAGCTCGATAAATTATGTAGAGATTTTTAAAGAGTAAATACGGCATGTTGAATCCACGCCAATGTTAAATGGTATAGTACACTTACAGTTAACTGGCAAAGTTTGATTGGCAGTGGGAACAACGTCGTCTCTTCCAACATCAAGAACCCCTTTCGGACAAATATGGCATTAAAATATCTAAAACAGTATCACGTTCTTTTAGGTTATAAGTTTTCGTTTCGGTTTTGGGCTTATTAACTCTGGATTTTACAATACTTAGGGTAAAACTGTGACGTCTCTAGAACTTGGTTTGTCTCTATGAATTCCTTCATCAATTTTACGTTTACATCCTCCAGTAGATCTGAAACAAAATAAAGGAATAATGTATAATGCTTTAACAGTCCATAAAAGTTTCAGGCTTAAGAAAAGCAACATTAATTATCGCTTGTGATGCATATACCGCTATACGAATATTCGCATGTTAACCGTGCCAATTCAATACAATGAATAAATGTAAGAAAGTGATTCCAGCCAACAGTTTAAAACCCAGATCAACTAATGAATCAGTGTGTTAATCGTGTGCACTTTATACTTGAATTCTTTTTTCAATGCTAAACTTTACTTTCTCCTATAGCACGTGGTCTAAACAAGTAATTAGACCAGGTACTGAAGCAACAACGAATTAAAAAACCTCATATTTTTTAAGTTCAGACGCCAGTTCCACTTATTTTCTGTTTATCTTGGACAAGACTTAAGATACTTTATTAGAAAAGCTATGGCAAATAACACTGTTTTCAACAACCGAAAAAAACATAAAAATAGGGTTATTCAAGTATTGTAAGCTAAGGTTACTAATATTTGAGATTGTTCAAACAGTTATATATCTATTTTTTGTAAATATGTAACACTGTCGAAGTGTCAATCTTTTGTTCCTGCATAAGACAATTACATATTATCATTATCTATGTCAACGGTTTTTAAAAACCAGGTTTCGATACCCACAGTGGGCACTGCACAGGTAGCCCATTGTATAGATTTGTGTTTAACTACAAATAAAACAAACAAAGTCTGTGGTTCGTGGAATGATTGTGTAATTACAGAGAGGAATCGGTAGCAGAGTGCATAGGTCTCGATGTGATGAAAACATTACGTGATTCGCGAACAAAAACATTTGTGAAACGCGTGTTCAAGAAATTGTGCTTTAGTTTAAGCTATTCATCTTCTAGAAAATATACTACTTCATTTGTTTTTAATTGTTGTTGTTGTTTTTGGTTCTTAGGTAAAGCACGTGTCCAGAACACGAGATGAAGCTACCTATACTTATTTGTACTTGTTGGGATTTAACAACTCATACTGTTTGTTTCAGAGAAAAGTTATTCAATGACCAATTTGCGCAGTGTCAACCGAGGGGATTGAATCCTGAATTTTCTCAACTAAAGTTTAGTACCGAATTTCAAAACACAAAATATTCTAGCTATAAAAGAAAATATTCCTCTAATCCTTTGAAAGTCTCGTCACTTCATGTTTAACGTTTTTCTTGAGCTACTACAGTTTTTCAGAGTTCTTTTGCGATCATAAAACTTCATTATATTCACTATTTTGATTATAACTTTTAATCAGTTTTGGCAAAATGAATTTTTTTAGATATTATGAATCGTATCAAGGCCAAAACGATAAAAACATAATTAAGGTTGTAAAGGTTTTGGTTCATATGCACCATGGTAAATCGGCATCCAATGACCAAACGTAAAGTAGGCTTGACACACAACTAAGCCTATTTTGCACTCGACCATATGGTGTCGCGTTTCTGTTGAGAATCCATATGTAGGTGATTCACAAAAGTTTGGTTTTACCATTCATACAAATTAATTAACATGGAAAAGTATATTAACACGGATTCAGTTCTATTTCATGACAAGACAAAAAAAGTACAAATTTAGTTATCTAATTTTTTTTTACTTCTAAATTCCATCATTACTTTGTATAGTTAACCGGAAAGGTTTAATTATCTTCGCTAGAAGTTAGGGTAAATCTTATGAATCTTAAAACATAGGTAAATACGTAAGGATGACGGTCAAATGTTAACCAACCAACACATTTTAGGAAGCTTACAACCTGTAAAGACTATCTGGTCCATTAGTACCTCCAAGTCCTCTAACAGTACCTACAACATCCTTTTTTTAAATTCGCACCAACAGGAAGTTCGTGGGTACCTCCTCTTCGTTATAAGTCACGGATAACCTTGGCCAAAGGTTGACGCTGGGAGCTAAACAACGGCATTGTTTTATTTGTAGACTACATGCTAAGGGGGAAAATTCTGAATATTTTATAAGTTCTGGATTAGGGTTGTCATGTTTTTCGTACTTCTGTGAACTAAGCTATCCACAATCAAAAGGCATAGCCCTTGCAGTAGCTTATCTGAGGTATCGGTAGCCCCTGAATCAGCAAACTTACCGCTACCGTGGGAAATAGTTATCTGTGCTCGCGTGCATTGCATATGTAAGCTCGCGTATTCACTTTTTGGAATGTCATCGTGATCAATATCAACTGAATTTCATTTGGTTACGTTTCGAGAAAACTACAGTTCACGGGTGTTTCTTGGGAAAACGGCGTTCTAGAAGAGGACAGTTTGTTATCGTTTTGAAAATCTGACGTTTTCTTTCTAGAGTATTCGCTACCCGGAAATTCATTATTGCTTTCCATTTGGCACGACACTGTCGAAAGACGAGTAAATTTATTATCACAGCCTGCTTCTGAGCTACTGTCGGTAAGGTAGGTTCGTTCACTTAGAGAATACGAGGTTCCTACCAGGTTCCGAAGATTTATGTCTTGCGATTGGCTAGCTTCTTTGTTGGTCAGAGGTAACGAGTTTCTACAAGAAGTAGATGGAAGAGTGTTTTGTTGTGACACACACGTTTGACCACTGGCTACTTCGTCTTCTAACCTTCGTGACGCTGAATAATTCAATGAACTCGATAAAGAAATGATACTAGTTCTAGACTGTAGTAGTGTGGAGGCTGCTAGTTCTGATGAGAAACCGGTACTGTATCGATGGCGATGAGGAATCCCGCTACCTTTCAAGTGGGAGACAAGAGACAGTGGATAACTCTCTCTACGAACCGCTGTCCCTGGTGCTGAAATGGCATTTTTCAATGGCTCACTGTGCCTACGACGCACTGACGTTTGTAAAGAATCGACGACCAGAAAACCTTCGTTGTATAGACTAACACAATCTTCGAGACTGTCCTCTTCCTCGGAGGCCAAGGGCGCAAATTCGTCACTAGCCATCGCGGCTATTCCCATCGTTGAGCTCGTGTCGTCCAGTTCTGCAAGCTCTCGCTGTAACTGTTCATTCCACCGGGCTTGATTATTGCGAAGATTTTGCATTAACTCTTGAGACAAAGAGCTCTTTAAAAACTGGTGCCACATGGCAAATAGTGGTGAGACGACGTAACGTAAAAAATCTAAAAATGTGAGAGAACAAAACATTATACAATAAACATAACTTTACTGTCCGTATTTAAAACGGACACATGTGAATTTTAAAAAAAATCAATGAAAAACATTTGGGGTAGATATAACGATCTTTTGTATTTTCATAATTGTATAAAACCTTTGTGGAATTTCTGCCTTAGCGTTTACCTACAAAAATGTTATGTTATTCTGTAACCCAGACATTCCCAACCTGGGGTACATTTGCACTTCTCAGAGGGTACATAGAGGTCTGAGAGTATAACCATGATTTACACTTTACATGGTGTTTTAATCTAAGATGATTGCAACAAGCAGCAAGATAACAGGCCTATCTTCAAAGAAATTCTCCTTTGTTGGAATGGAGTCACTGTTTTTGGCCTTTCTTTGAAGATAGGCCTGTTATCTTGCTGCTTGTTGCAATTCATCT